TTTTTTAAACCCTACAATCCGGAATACGAAATTGAAACTGTTTCTTAGTAGTTCAGTCTCTACGGAAGCAATATTATCGAATGTTTCTAGCGTTATTGGAGTCGAGTAAGCATAAGAAGAATGATCATTCACAAAAAAGTATCTTCACAAGAAAGTTGGTCTCTTAGTTGGGAATGTCGGGGGCACGGGACGTGCCAACCACCTTCGAAGTATTTGAGGAGGCCAATTTTCTTGTGAGGATACTTTTTTGTGAATGATCATTCTTCTTATGCTTACTCGACTCCAATAACGCTAGAAACATTCGATAATATTGCTTCCGTAGAGACTGAACTACTAAGAAACAATTTCAATTTCGTATTCCGGATTGTAGGGTTTAAAAAAGGACCTCCCATGGAAAAACTGCTTCCTTTGCATATGAATTCATTTTGAAATTACACATTACTCAATGGTTGAACTAAAAGAAACAAGTAAACATTGAAGAGTAGGAATCATAATGATAAGGGAAACAAAAAGTTTCCAAACTTTTGACGCGCCATTACTTGAAAAAATCTTATTTCTCAAATATGATTATAGGTTTTTGGAAATTATTCTTCCCGTCGTATTCTGAACTTGATTTTGTATGAAATATCTAAATTTGGGACAATTTCGTTGTGTATCGGCCGCGCTAGATCAAAAATAAAAAAGTTTCCAAACTTTTGACCGCTACTGTACATACATACGAACTGACACATAAGTTAGTGGTTTATAAAATAGAAGGACTGTTTTCTACTCGTATCTAGCTATAAACCTGTTGACCTGGGAGAAGACTCAATTCCCGGAACGTCGTCGCATAAAGCTTTGAAGTTTCATTTCAGTAGATTCTTGAAGCTTTATTGTTTTTCAAAATTCATTGGTCGCAATGTTATGTTGTATATGGAGCGAATTTGAGTTCCCTTCCTGTGAACAATCGCACGAAGTAATTCGTTTCAGTACCTTTCGCTGTACTCTCCAGTTTTTTATGCGCTGTTCTTCGGGAAATTCAGTGAGAGGGATAAGCGAGAAATTCCTGTAGAAGACGTTATACTGGATGAGTTTGTCGAACTTCTCAACGTCGTCTATCCTAGCCATAAGCCAGTCTCCAGTAAGTTCAGTTTTATTCTCCGTTATATTTTAAATTAACGATTTTGGCGCGCGCCTCGTCTTTCGGGTCACACTGTTATCTTGTGGTGCCCCTCTTCTTCGCATACCTTTTGAGTTCCTAAGATCTGTCATAGCAGCTAAAGACTGACACTTGATTTTCGAGTAAATATCACGGGGGGTGCGCATTTATAATGTTCGCCAAAGTCGTAATAGTAATAGGTTCGCTTTATTTAATGTGCGAAACACTTCAAAACTTCTATCAATTTTCTATTTCTCGAAATCAAAGTGAGTGATCGTTTCCTAGCCTTCTGCCAGCAAATGTGTTGAAATAGTTACTGATATTTATGTCTCAATTCGCTTATCTTCTTCACCTGCTTTTGACTTCCAACTGTTTGGGAGTAGTAATGCATTCAACTTGAAACAATATTTGACGAATTCCTCCGAAAATTTTGAAAGGTGGTACGGAGTTTTTTTTTTCCAGACCCATTGCCTAATGTCCCACGTTACACTGTTCTTCGTTGATGTTTTTTTACAAGACTGCGCATCAGGGGCTAATCTGGGGCGGTATTCAATCCTTCCCCCAGGGGGATATATCCCCCTACTCTGATTCAATCCTCTGGGGGGACAAAAAAGGGTTGCGTCATAGCATACCTCTGTGTTTCTACCTGCCAGACAGTTAGAGCAGCGCTACTACCCTCCACTGATGAAGCACTCTTTTCCCTGAGGGGTCGCGCTGCTCTAACTGTCTGGCAGGTAGAAACACAGAGGTATGCTAGGTCCTATGACGCAACCCTTTTTTGTCCCCCAGAGGATTGAATCAGAGGAGGGGGATATATCCCCCTGGGGGAAGGATTGAATACCGCCCCTGATCATGTCCGGTTGGCGGGCCATCGTATGAAGTTTTTTTAATGCAGTCTCTGTGCAAACTTGATTACACACCTACTCCACTGCTAAAATTTAACATTTTGCCACTAAATGCAAAAGCTTTTCTTTGATGTTTCAGCTGACAATGTGGAGTTCCTTTTGGAATTGGGCGACAAGTTCGAGATACAATTCGTGATTGACGAATGTGAGCGGTTCCTGATTTCCACTGAAGACATCCCCATCGTAACAAAGCTTGTCTGGGCGGATCAGTACTGTCTAGCGAAATTGCAGGTATGTCTCTTGTGCTGTCATGCTTTGGTTTTTGTTTGAACAGTTTTTTTTTTGAACAGTCCATCTATTTTGGTTAAAAGCGAGTGTGCTTATTACGGTTCCAACTTCGGTGTGCAAGGAAGGTAAAAGTAGACTATTGGAAGTGGGCGAGATGTTGTCGCTCGACTTGCCATACTGGATTACCCGCCGTCGAAGGGGATCCCGCCCAGGACACGGAACCCCATCCACTTCTGACATACAAGCATGCATAATGCTTGCTGAAAGGAAGATTCTATATTTTATCACCCTACAAATTCCACCTAGCTGACCTCACATAATCTGGGAGAGCTGTATGTCGCGCATCTTATTTTAGAATATCGCAAGGTGGGGGTAGATTGAGTTTGTGTCGACCTACAATCTTAGTTCTGTATGTGTTTTCGTCTGTATAGCGGTTTTTGTTGGCTGGTCTGTTCTGACCGTGAGAGGAATGCTTACCTTACCATTACTTCCCTTCGAACGTGGGGAATTAAATTTTGAATGTTGTCCATTGAAGAAGTGCTATAGTTGTCCTCGGCAGTGTAGTGGTTACTCGCCGCTTATCATGCGTCCGGTCTCAGAATCCTACAGCGTCAAGCCTTCCACCTGTCCAGGTTCGGTTATCTGATAACAGTTTTGTCTAGGAGGATCAAGACACTGAGTTGTCATAAATCACCTGGCCTTCGGAACACATCAAACAGGCAAGCAGCCTTCGAGTGTCCCCACGACTCCGAATTTAGCGTGCATGCCGGAAGGGGATTTATTAATGAGTGAACCGCCTTTGGTTAAACATTTTGGTTAACGATTTAGGCAAGCATTGTATTCTCACAGTATTTTCCGAAGTCTACTCACTAGTCCATAATCGCTTTTTCTTGAGCGTCTATTCGCATCTGAAGCTGCGTAATGAGGCTTAGTATTATCCATTTGCTTTGTTGCTATACCCAAGTAAGAAAAGTACAATGACATTTTTATGATTTCAAGCAATTAAATTTCTCCGTTGCAGGACGCATGCGTTCGTACGTTCAAATGTGTGAACGACATCAAAGGGTTGAAACTTACTGAAGAGTACAAGAACCTCAGCGATACCACGAAGGCAGCGTTATTAGAGAAGATATTCAAAATTCTAAAGGATTAGACTTTCTATTGGGTTCCGTAATGATCTGAAGTAATTTCTCTGATCGAGAATCATCATAGGCACCTCATGTGAGCTACGAGACTCTTGTTCACCTCTTTCAGTCGCTTCTTTTCATTTTTTTTTGTTATTTTTATTAAAGTGCATAATACCAAAGCAGTCTATGAATTTCATTTTAGGTCCGTCTTTATTGTTGTTGTTGAATTATGCATCTAATTCATTGTAAAAGTTCCACATCAGTGCATAAGATAAGTCGTGTGAATCTGTGATTGTGTGGGTTCTGTTCTAGTGTGTGCGCGCGTATTTGAGCTTCTTTCCCACTGCCGAGTTAAACTTTGTGCGTGTGTATATAGTGCTTCACATGAAGATGTTGTGAAGTAGTTGTTTCAAATATTGGTTATTGGGGAATTCGTATTGAAAGCGAAATTGGAACGCAATCGATTCTAAATACATAGGTGGCTTAAATATGTCATGAGTAAATAAACAATTACAGTTTCATTATCGAATAATTGGTGGTAAAACACTCCAGGACATACTGTGTCCATGTGGAAGTATCTTCGGCAGATTAATTGAGTAAAATTTTTCCTAACTAGAGACTTTTTTCCTTGGTTACTCCCAATAAAGGTGACGACCATTCTGTCTGTGAGAATGGTGGCAGCTGAGTGGTATTAAGAAGGGGGACAGTATCTGTAGGTTGTTGTCTTCACGATATTTACTTATTGGCCAAGAACGCGTTGAAACATTGAGAAAGGTTTAGTGATAAAGACAAAAGGGAGCAAGGCGACGGCGCTCAAATATTCATAGAGGCTATCGCAATAGTCCAAGACTTTAAGGAAGTGTTAATGTATTTATTTATTTATTTATTTATTGCACAAAAGGTGCGCCACCAGAGCCAATAGTCAACAGAAAAGCAAGCACTCGAACAAAGAATCCAATACTCAAAGAATAAAACGAAAAACATTAAACAGAACGACCAGAAAGTAACACAACATTCAACCATGAGTTGAAGAAATAAGTCCAATACCGGTAATGTGTACAAGACAAGCAGGTCGGAGCTAAAGAACTTGCGTCAAATGTTGCTGTAATCAACCTGCAGAAGACATATTCAGTAGTACCGAGACAGACCAAGAGCTTTCTGATTCCCAAAAAGTGTTATTGAAAGAGTTTCATTCGATAGATTAAATAAATGTAAGGGGACATTGCCTTGTCATCGCCTCAAACACTTTTTGCAAAGGTAACCTGAAGTAAGAAGGGGAGCGCGGGTCATTCTGGCGTTCACAACGGCACATCGACAACGGCTCGTTGGCTTCTCTATCTCACCCACGGAAAAGATTCTTCGTCACGGCCTCATCTGGGGTTGTTGCTCTAAGTTTATCAACTCACAAACAAATGATGGCAAGTTCTGCAATTTTTGATAGCATGTTCTCCAGAAGCATATTCTCTGCTTACAAACTCGTGACGTGTTCCCAAGGATAACTGCATACTTCGTGATGAATGTTGACAGGCAAATAGCACGCGCCTGGGTTAACTTGGTGTCGTTAGCGTGTATTAGTTTGTTCGTGTGTAGGACCTACTTTGCCTGCCTACTCTTTCCAATTCCTTTCGATTGGTGTACCATAACAACCATCGCTTTTTAAAGTTTGCATTGAATCAGTATCGGCTTTTCATGTTCTCAATGAGCAGAAATTGATATATTCCCCGTAATAGAAAAGAATACCGAAATTAAACGGGAGTTTGGGGCCTGTTGAGGCCTCTGTATTGGGGGAGAGGTGCATTTTAGGGCAACAGTTCGGTGCGGAGCAGCACCTCAGCTAGGTTGAAATATATTGATTATGGTTGGTTTGTGGTATACTCGATATCCGAAGTTGGGGTAGGCGTGTCACCGGAAGTGACGTGCACTTGATAGAAGCTATGTGGATAAGCTGCTTCCAACATACATCGCTGGATATCAGCAAAGCATGCTGGCAACAGCTTATCCACGCAACTTCTATCAAGTGCACGTCACTTCCGGTGACACGCCTACCCCAACTTTCGGATATCGACTGTATATTTTCATATCCACATCGGATTGCATCAGGCAGTCGTGAAGCTACCCTTACGAATGCTCTCGCCGTGAGGGGGAAACTGAATGAATCGTCCTTAATCTTGTGCTTTAGTAGTACCAGAGGTGCTGACTTGACAATCGTTGCACGTGTTATTGAAATTTTATTCGTATTGAGACGTAGTTAGCTGCTAAAATTACATTCTTGTGTCAGTTCGTTAGTTGTTTGTCCCTACTATTTGATTTTAGGTGCGGCTTTTATTTCCAAGGCTTCCATTTACTTTCCCTCCAAAAGGTTTTTCATAGAGTAAGACCTTAATGGCTAGCATGGGAAGTTTCATTCGCCTCTTGTATCACCCGTCGTCTCTTTGACAATCGGGTTCCTTGAGCAGATGCCAGTAATGTCTTCCTTCGTCCGTATTGCGTGTCTGTGTTGCAGTGGAGTCCTCCTTGCTCGAGGCACACAGCTGGTCATTCCTTTCGTTCAGAGCTTTCGTGAAGAAGTCTGACCATCGGGCCGGCGGTCGTCCAGGTGTTCGTTTGACGTCCCGAGGGATCCAGTCGGTAACCGCTCTGGTCCAACGGTCATCGCAAAATCGCATGACGTGTCCGGCCCACCTTATCTTCGATTCCTTGGCGAAAACGGCAGCGTTTTTGATCTTCGATCCTTGAGAGAAATCGCAACTCTGTATTTCCTTCTACACTGTGGGTATTAGAAAGCCCCAGCATCGCCCTCTCTACGTGCGTTGGATGACGCTGATCACATGCTCGCCCTGCCAGGACAGAGTGCAAGTCTCCGAGGCGTGTGTTGGGCAGGAAGGAAGTGCGGAATCGAAGAGGTGGGCACGGAGCCGGATGTTCTTCGTCTTCTTCACTACTCCCTCGATGTTCTTGTACGCTCCCCAAGCCGCTCGTTTCCTCCTGCTCAGCTCTGGAGCTAGATCGTTCATCATATTGATTTCCCGACCTAGGTACACGTAGCTGGAACATTCAGATGTTTGGTGGTTCGTTCACCAATCGTAAACAAGATATTGGAAATCTATCTGGTCCTCACGATCACCGTCTTCGTTAGATTCATCTGCAAATCAACCTTTCACGCGCGTGGTGAAGATGAGCCAGCATTTGCCCTGCTTGCTCGACGTTCGATATTTTATCTCCATTGATATGCTTTGATGCTATAGCTGGAGAAGCTTCTGAGGATAAGAGACTGGATCGGAGAATCCAGCTCGGAGAACACAATGGCCTCACAACAGAGAGCACTGGTTCGCATATGCACCACACAAGGAAGGTCTTTCAGGACATGGAGCGCTTTTTCGAAATGGTTTTCTGCATGTTGTAGGGGATCATGCGCGAAGCACAATCATGATCCATATTTCCCGAACATCTCCAGGAATGTCAAAACAGTGGTGAAGAAATGGTCGAGAGTTCGATTCCCGGTGATGACTATTTTTTGCAATATATTAGGTTGTCCCATAATTAGTGAATCACTTTGGGTATTTTTGAATTCGAATTTTTTTCTTTTTCATATGGAGTCTCTGCTCATCCAAACATACATCCCTGTCATCTACAATGTATTGCCTATACAGGGAAATTTTGTCGCTGTCTTATCTCTAGAAATCCAGGAGCTATTGATCGAAGAAAGATCGGAAGTCGAGTTTGAGGTCATGTCACTTAGCGTAAAATTCCTCCCTGGGGAAGAGCGCTAGAGGTCAAACTGAGTTGCCTCTTGTTGGCACGAGGATAGGGCCACACAGAGGAAGTGGAAGATCGGCTAGCTTGAGAGTCTCTAATTTTTTATGAATATTCTCCGCAAGGTGGGTCGAACGACCTCAGGAAAAAAGCAGACTTTGTCTTGCTTTACTTTCAAATTGAATGCGCCGCCATTACGCTGTAGATGTTGATCTTCTTCAGTGACTCTAGTATTACTAGGCGGCGGTTCCCAGCGCATGGTCACTCTCGTGCTCCACCAATATCTCTGAAGGGTCGGACTAGAATGAGGTTTGGCTTTTGCTATCAGAACTCCCGAATCGTTCACGCTGGGCTACTGCTCCTCGGAGATTTGCTAGTACACTTCACGCAGTCCAGAACCCTGGTGAATAAGCTGGATGATCACTGTAAGGAACTAAGGGAGATCAGAAGGAACATGACGATGTCAGATCGTGTGCGGAGCTGTTTCGAGCTCAAAGCACACGAGATACAAATTAAATATTTTAAAATCGTTACAACTCTACGTAGATGTCTACATTCCATTATTTTAACAAGTCGGGCATGCTCTAGCAAAAGGCGGCTAGTTCGTCCATATTCACGCTTAGTGGCGCTGGGTATAGCACTGAGATTGCCAGTTGAGGGGTAGTTGGAGTGTGGGTCATCTTCAACTAAAAAAGCCAACCTCTCGATAGAGTGAACTATAAGCAGACCGTGGAGTGAGGGAGCGTGCCCTTGCCTATCTGCTGGTCGATTCTCTATATTGTTGGGCGTTTGAAAGATCTTAATCAGAAGTGATTAAGAAGGGAGCTCAAAAATAGGTTCCAGAAAAATTGAAATATCAGCCACGGAAGGCAGCATGGAAATGGGCTGAGTAATTGCTCAAGTAGGATAATGTGGATGCTACTTCGCAAAACATGTTTCACGCCTTCACCATTTTTCTTGGATTTTTAATAACGATAAATGTAAAGTGATTCACTAATTATGGGACAACCTAATAGTTTGGCGAACCCAGATTGCCGCCAAATGGCGCCATCGTCGAGTATAGATGTCATTGTCGTGTGCGGCAATTTGGAGGCGCCAACATAAATTGCAAAAATTTGTCATCACGGAGGATCGAACTTTGGACCATTTCTTCCCCGCTGTTTTGACATTCCTGGGGGCGTTCAGGAAAAATGGACCATGGTTCTGTGTTCCTCACATGAGCCTCTACAACATCAAAAACCATTTTGAAAAAACGCTCCATGTCCTGAAAGAC